AGTCGTAGTCGTAGTCGTAGTCGTAGTCGTAGTCGTAGTCGTAGTCGTAGTCGTAGTCGTAGTCGTAGTCGTAGTCGTAGTAGTAGTAGTAGTGTAGTTAGTAGTAGTATAGTAAGTAGTAGTAGTAGTAGTAGTAGTAGTAGAGTAGTAGTAGTAGTAGTAGTAGTAGTAGTAGTAGTAGTAGTAGTAGTAGTAGTAGTAGTAGTAGTAGTAGTAGTAGTAGTAGGTAGTAGCAGTAGCAGTAGTAGTAGTAGTAGTAGTAGTAGTAAATAGTAGTACTAGTACTCGTGGTGTAGTAGTAGTAGTAGCTGTCGTAGTAGTAACAATAGTAGTAGCAGTAATCCTCGTACTAGTAGTAGCAGTAGTAGTAGCACTAGGAGTAGTTGCTGAAGAAGTAGTAGCTGAAGAAGTAGCTGAAGAGTTGTTGTTCAAATAGTAGATGAAGAAGTAATATCAGTAGTAGTAGTAGTAGTAGTAGTAGTAGTAGTAGTAGTAGTAGTAGTAGTAGTGTAGTAGTAGTAGTAGTAGTAGTAGTAGTAGTAGTAGTAGTAGTAGTAGTAGTAGTAGTAGTAGTAGTAGTAGTAGTAGTAGTAGTAGTAGTAGCAGTAGTAGTAGCAGTAGCAGTAGTGAAAGCAATAGTAGTACCAGCAGCAGCGGCAGCAGCAGCAGCAGAAGTACTAGCAGTAGTAGTAGTAGTAGTAGTAGTAGTAGTAGTAGTAGTAGTAGTAGTAATAAGTAGTATTAGTAGTAGTAGGTAGCAGTAGTAGCAGTAGTAGCAGTAGTCTTAGTTATAAAAATAATACTAGCAATACTAATAGTAGTGTTGGTGGTACTAGTAGTCGAAGAAGACGAAGCAATAGTAGTCGTAGTAGCACTCGTAATAGCAGTAGGAGAAGGAGTGGCAGTACCAGTAGCAGTGGCAGTAGTGGTAAAAGAAGTAGTCGTGGGAGAGGTAGTAGTAACAGCAGTAACAGTAATGACAACGGTAACATATAATTAATAGTAGTAGTACTGGTAGTAATAGTAATAGAAGTAGTCGTCGTAGTAGTAATATCAGTAGTAGTAGTAGTAGTAGTAGTAGTAGTAGCAGTAGTAGCAGTAGCAGTCGCAGTAGTATTACTACAACTTCTACTACTAGTACTAGAAGTAGTAGTAATCATAGTAGAAGCCGCCAGTAGTAGCAGTAGCAGTAGTAGTAGTAGCAGTAGTAGTAGTAGTAGTAGAAGTAGTAGTAATCGAAATCGAAGTCGAAGTCGTAGTAGTCGTAGTAAGCGTAGTAGTCGTAGTAGTCGTAGTAGTCGTAGTAGTGGTAGTAGTAGTAGTAGCAGTAGTAGTAGTAGTAGTGGTAGCAGTAGTAGTAGTAGTAGTAGTAGCAGTAGTAGTAGTAGTAATAGTAGTAGAGGGGGGGGGAAGATGATAGTGAGAGGGTGGTCTGTGACAATAAAAACGTGCCGAAGATGTGGGGGAAATGGAATGGCGGCGTCGGTTCGCCGCCAGCGTTTTCGATGTACGCCGCGCCGTAGCCATCGTCAATAAGAGCTCTAGCACGAATCTAATTAGGAGCCCAACAAGAGTCCTACTAGGAATCCTACCAACAATCCTGACCAAGACGCCTACTAGAAATCAGCGGCCTCCAATACCACGGGATGTGTGATGTTATTGGAAATGACCTGAGGCGTTCGATGAAACCCCTCTTTGGGACCACAAAACGTGTGAGGGGGGCGCCGAAAACGGCCAAAAGCATTCGGTGGAGCCCCTTCGTCGTGCCACGAAATGTGTGACGTTGTGTTGGAAATTTCACGAGGCGTTCGCTGAAACCTCGCTTGGGACCACGAAACGTGTGAGGGGTGCGCCGAAAACGGTTCGAGGCCCTCGGCGGAACCCCTTCCTTGTGGGGGCGCGAAACGTATGAGGGTAGAAAAGGACTGGTCCTGGCCTTCGGTGGAGCCACTGTGGGGCCACGAAATGTGTCAGCGGTGCGCCGAAATCGGCCTCCCCTTGTGTGGGGCCACGAAACCACTGCGGGTTGTGTAGAAATTCGCCGGAAGCCTTCGGTAGAGCCCCCTGTGGGGCCACGAAGCATATGAGGGGTACGCCGAAATCGTTGCTCTGTTGCTCTGTTACTGGGAGGGGCGCTAATTAGGTTGTCTGTTGCGTCTGTTGCTCTGTCGTCTGTTGCTCTGTTTCTGGGGGGAGTGCGTGTTGGCTCTGTTGCTCTGTTGCTGGGTGGGAGGCTCTGTTGCGCTGTTGCGTTGTTGCTGTGTTGCTGTGTTGCTGTGTTGCTGGGGGGGCTCAGCCACCAGGCACCAGTGATTGATTTCGTCAACAACAACAAAAACAACCACAACCACAGTTACAACAACAATAACAACAACCACAACAACGACGAAAACAACAACAAGAAGAACCGCAACATCAACAACGACAACACCAACAACACCAACAATGACAAAAACAACAAAAACAACAACAACAACAACAACAACAACAACAACAACAACAACAATAACCACAACCACAACCACAACCACAACCATTACCGCAACAACAACAGCAGCAACAGCAACAATCACAACAACAGCACCAACAATAAAAACAACAGCAGCAGCAAACACAACAGCAACAGCAGCCGCAGCAACAGCGACAACCACCACACCAACAGCAACAACAATGAATACGGCGGCGACGGCGACAACAACCACAACAGCAACAACAACAGCTTCAGCATCAACATCAACATCAGCATCAGCAGCATCATCAGAAGATTCAGCATCATCAGCATCATCATCATCATGATCAGCATCATCATCATCAGCAGCAGCATCAGCATCATCATGTTCATTATCATCATCAGCAGCCTCAACAGCGTAATCAATATCGTCAATATCATCGACGTGCTTATCATCATCAGTGTCATGAACATATTCGCTTTTGCCGTTCTCGAGGTCGTATGTCATAATCAGCAGAATGGCCATGATCGTCATCGCCACTATTATCATACGCATCATATCCAACGTCGCGGCGGTTCAGCATCGTCATCATCATCATCATCATCATCATCATCATCAGCAGCATCATCATCATCATAATATTCAGCATCATCATCATCATCAGCAGCAGCAGCATCAGCAACATCATTATCATTATCATCATCATCATCAGCAGCATCGGCATCGTAATCAATATCGTCATCATCCTCGACGTGCGTGTCATGAACATATTCGTTTTGCCGATCTCGAGGTCGTATGTCATCATCAGCAGAATGGCCAAAATCGTCATCGCCACCATTCTCATACGCATCACATCCATCGTCGCCGTGGTTCAGCATCATCATCATCATCATCATCATCATCATCATCATCATCATCATCATCATCATCATCATCATCATCATCATCATCATCATCATCATCATCATCATCATCATCATCATCATCGTGATCAGCATCGTCGTCATCATCCTCATCATCACCATCACCATCATCTTCATCACCACCACCCTCATCATCAGCAGCACCGTCATTATCATTACCTGATTATTATCGTCGTCGACGTTATCGTCCTTGTCGTTGTCGCCGTGTTCCTCCTCACCCTCGTTCTCGTCCTCAGTATGCCCCCCCCCTCCCTCCTTCCCGCCTAATCCCTCCTTCCACCCCCTCCTCATGGTGTTCCCCTCTCCTCCTCCTCCTCCTCCTCCTCCTCCTCCTCCTCCTCCTCTCCTCCTCCTCTCCTCCTCCTCCTCCTCCTCCTCCTCCTCCTCTCCTCCTCTCCTCTCCTCCTCCTCCTCCTCCTCCTCCCTCCTCCTCCTCCTCCTCCTCCTCCTCCTCTCCTCCTCCTCTCCTCCTCCCCCTCCTCCTCCTCCTCCTCCTCCCCTCCTCCTCCTCCTCCTCCTCCTCCTCCTCCTCCTCCTCGTCGTCCTCCTCCTCCTCCCACATAACTTCTCCCCGTCCGCATCCTCCTCTCCAACTCCCCTCGAGGTTTGGGAGCCCCTGGCCCGATACTGGGGCCGAACAGCTCGACGTCGCGCGGCTGTGACAAACCTTGGGAGGGCCCAGCGGCTGAAAGGAGGTTTTCTGAGGGAGGGCTGGACCAAGACCTGCCGCTGGATCGGTTCTCGAGGTTCGGAAATCGTGGTTCCAAATGTTTGCAATGTTTTGTTACGGTTGAGAATTTGGGGGGCGTCTGGAGGCCTCCAAGGAACTCAGGAGACATCCAGAGGTCAAGACCTGCTGCTGTGGGGGCCAGGCCACAGCCTGCAGTCGCGCGGCGTCAGGGCCGCAAAGAGGAGGAGGAGGAGGAGGAAGAGGAGGAGGAGGAGGAGGAAGGGGGGAGGAAGAGGAAGTGAGGAGGAAATGGAAAGGAGTAGGAAGAGGGAGAGAAACTGGAGCAATAAGAAGAAGAGAAGTGAAAGGGGAGCAGGAAGAGAAGGAGCAATCTACTGACCGTCCTTCGTGGTCAAAGCCCGCCGCTCCTTGGGAAAACACTTGTCTGGGGGATGGGAGCAAGGGGGGGGGTGAGGGCGGGCGCGGAAGGGGAAGGGACGCGAGGAGATGGGAGGGGGGGGGGGGGCAGCGGGCGAAGACTGGGGAGAAGCGAAGCAGGCAGCTGAGGGCGAAGGGCTGGGGAGGGCCGAGCCGGCGGCCACCGCGCAGAGGCCCGCGGCACGGTGCCTTCGACGTCAGCTCCTGTGACACCTGCCCTGTGCCGCCCGCCCTCGGCGCCGAGCGCGCCGGTTCCGCCGAGGCCGGCGGTGGCCGCCGCGCCGGCGGCTGCCGCGGGGGCGACGGCCGGCGAGCGGGCGATCTCCGCGGCGGCAGCGTCGGCGGCGGCCGTCGCGCCGGCGACCGCGGCGCCGCGGCCGCGGGCGCCGCCTGGCCGGCGACCGCGGCACCCGCTGCGGCGACCGCGGCGCGGCGCGCCTGTCGCCCGGCGGCGGCCCGTCGGGCTGCGGCGGCGGGCGGTGCTTGGGCGAGGCCGGCTGCCGCGGCCCCGGCGCGCCGATGGCTCCCGGGCGCGGGCGCTTGGCGGCCGGCTCGCCGTCGGCGTCGCCGTTGGCGGCCCGCTTGGGCGGCGAGGGGGGCGGCGGCCTCGCCCTCTCGGGCGGCGGGCGCCTCTGCTGGCGCTCGGCGGGCGGCGGCCGCTGCCTGGGCGCCGCCCGCGCCTCGCGGGCGATGTACCTGCCGATGCGCGCGGCGAGGGGGCCGCAAGGGGGCACTGGCCGGCGGTCTCCGCGAGGACGAGGAGCGGGAAGTCCGGCAGGGTCGGGGAGGCGGTACTCGACGGCTCGTGTCAGGGGGCGTCCAGGTGCGGTGCTGCTTCGGGTCGTGTCGGGGTGCTCGAGCGGGCGGGTCGCGTGAAGGGTCTCGGGCAGCTGTTGGGGTGGAGCGCTGCAGCGCCGCGTGCCGCAGGAGCTCAGGCGGGATCCGCACGGGGTCTGCACGGCGGGGCCCGAGTGGAATTCTGGCGATTTAGCGGCGTGGATTCTCTCCAGAATGGTTTGGCCTGTCAACTGTCTGGTACATCGTCGTGGAGACGGTCAGCTGTGCTTGCGCAGATCGGAACACTTAAAATCAATCGCGATTCAGTCGACGGAACTCCTACCGTGCATGTCACGCGAGAGCTGCACCACCATATCTCGTTCAAGCGACGCAGATAGGACTTGACATCAATTGATCATAAGGAGAGACTGACACCCCTGCCCTGAGGCCCTGAGTCATTACGCTTGGATTGTACGGAACGACTGCTCGAAAAACAATGGGCGCACGACTACTCGGAATAACTTTTACACCGCTGGCGGTAAAGGTAGGGATGGCTTCTCTCTTGCTAGGACGACTGAGACACGAGTGTCGCCCAGAGGAAGAATGGTCGCGATGCAATGCATACCTGAGATGCCATTATTGAGGCTAGGTTCGCGAATCCTCGCACCGGATCAAGGCATTGCAAATGGGTGGTGGCAGGGCGCGAGGCCAGACTAAGACAGACACTCACGCTGGCATGATGTTGAAGTCAACGCGCCCTGGCTGAACTATCCCCGGACCTGATAGGACTTGGTCGGAAGGAAAGGGGTACCCCAGCCTCAGTACATCCCTGCTACCAAGCTGATACAGACCAGACTGACTAATCACGAGAGAGATGACTGGTTCAAGACTGCTCAGAAAAATTACACCAAGGTTTTGTAGCAGGGGCAGGGGTGCACTGAGCTCTCGTCTCTGGCTTGATACGGCGTTAGCCCTAAGGTGTGTTATACGGAATTATACATGCGACCCTCGAGCTGCAACATTGGTGATTGACATTTGGATCACACGCTCTGGCTGCCCAACAAAACACTGTCGGCGAGTACAGATGGCATAGGGACGGAAAGCTTCCTTACTTAACGCGCGCTCGACATCGTTGTGAAAGCGACCCAGTCAGGTGGACAATGAACGTGACACCAAGGGAAGAGGAAGAAGCTTCAGCCAAAGATAAATCATCAAAAGATGCTGGTTCCAACACTGGGATACTCTGAGATCATCTAGGGATTGGTTCAAAGGCCGTCAAGGCCCACTGAGCTGCAGCAACAACAACACAAATGCGAAACCGCGTAAGGTAGGGGGCATCATTTTCGCTGCAATCACACACACACACCATCTGCCACAGTGCTTCTCTACGCTCCGCGTCATGCCCACGACTGTCGACCAACTCCAAGAGGAAGATACTAACCGAATCAGCGAAGAGCTGCAAGACATGGCAGTGTACATGAAGTGCTCCGCGTTGCTGTTGACAAGGCTGTACTTCGCGATGCTGGCGATGCTGGTGATGCCTGCGGGCGCGTCTGGGTACGTCATGATCGGCTTGCTGATGAGCGCGAATACCTGTGTAGGAGAACCTGAGCTCCACGTGTTTCGAAGGCGACCATGGAGACAGGGGCGTGGAGGTATGGAAACTCGCCGCCGGGAATCCGCCGTTCTACACCTTAAATGGAAGACGATCCACTCCTCCAGCACAGAGCAGAGACACACTTCTGAGCGGAGCAAGAAACAATTCGTCCAGTTCAATGCGTCGCCATATCGTTGTATCAACTGTTCCTTGCATGCGCGCGCCACGCTATCCCAAAAGAGAAGATCACAAATGTGAACATGGACCGAAGACAATACAGGCTCCCCGACTTGGTGCAGAAAACCGTATATCCTGTTCCCTAGAAGTAGCAGGCTTTGGAGGAGCACACCTTCCAGCTACTACACCAAGCAGTCCATGTTCACATTTGTGCTCTATCATTAAGTGCTTGCTTGGGCTACGAGAGCTGCTGCTGGCCGTCCAGCGCGCGTGCGAGCCCCAGAGTCTTGAGCACCGGCTCGAACCGGTGCAGCCCAGCAAGCAGATGCCGCACCGAGAGGAAGCAAGGCAACAGCAATAGAAGAACCAGAAGCGTAGAGGCGTGGATGAGGCAGAACCACACGCGGACACGACCAGCACGCGTCGGCATCGCAGGCTCGCCGTCTTGATGGGAACAACTGATGAGAACTCCAATGTGATGCTAGCAGGAGTCCGAATCTTGTTCCAGTATGTTGTGTGAGAACACTATCCGCAAGGCAGCTCGCGCGTCAGAGCGAGCCATCTGCCTCGCACGATCACCGAAGGAAGACCTTCCGCCCGACTAGTGAGAACATGATGGCCCCCCGAAATACCTACCATTAGCCTTCGCTGGACACGCCAGCTCCGCCCTCGACACATCCAGTGACTTCCTGACCCATCGCAGCCAGAACCTCGGCGAGATACCGCAGGCGGCGACCCGCCACCGAGCCCGCCCGCGCGGCTCAGGCTGCCAGTCGCCCAGCTGCAAGTGTAGGTGTCCGCCACGGGCAGCGGCGAGCGTTCTCCTTGCCAGGGTCGGCTGCACGGGCTGCCAGCTGCCAGCTCAGGCGTCCACCTCGGGCGAGCGGGCGGCGACGAGCGTGCTCCTCCTTGGAGCCGAGCCCCACGGCGTAGGCCCCCCCCCCCCCGGGTCGTCCGAAAGCCGCGCGCGTCGGAGGGGGAGGCGGGGCCAGGTCCGGGAGGCTAACCAGGGAGAGAGCGGGGCGAGAAGGGGGTCGTGGCCGTGACGGCTGGCTGTCGGAGCAGGGAGCTGCCGAGAGCAGAGGGGCCCTGCGGTCGATTCTGCCGTCCTTCCTCGCCTATCGCGCTCGAAACCGCTCCAGCCGGGGCCCACAGGACCGCGCAGGATCGCTCGATGAGTGAGGTCGGGGCGGGCGGTAAGGGTCGGAGCTCGCACAGCGAAGGCACCAAAGCAGGGGCACGATCCCCGGGCATGAAATGAGCCGCTGGGTCCACAACTCGCGGGGCAGACGCTCCCCGGATCGGCCAGGAGTCCACCCGCCGCGCGATGGTTCCCTGCCGACCCCAGCGCACCCACCGCTGCCCTGGACACCGGTTTCACGGCAGGCGGGCAGAATCCAGGACTGGTTTCCTGCGGCATCCGAGCTTCCCCCGTGCGTAATTAGTAGTAGCTGGCAGGGGCGTCGCGTCGACGCACGGCCTGTCACAAGATCCAGCCAGCGTGGAGGCTGCGAGCATTCTGGCGGCCGAACAGCCCGTCCACCGACGATTGAAGCAATCACTGCACGTACCCAGTAGCATTGCTCCCTCTTCTCCCGTCCATCCTCCCAAGGTCCCAGCTCTCAGAGTGCCTGTGCTGACAGTGCCCGCTGACCGCCCCGAGGTGATGCCGACGCGTGCCCCTCACCTCGATCCGAAGCTATCTTCACGCGACCTAGTCAGCAGCCCGAAAGGTCCCATGGGTGCCGCAGTGCAGTCGTTGTAGCTTTTCATAAGAGGGCCTGGAGGGTTCTCTCCCACTGTGTTTCGAACACCCTGGAGCAAATTATAGTAGGGAGTTTGGACTCTACAGCCGCGAAACAATCATTATTGCCCGGCGTACGACGCCAGGAAATACCTGGCAGAACCCGAGTCACCCCACGGGTTGACGAGCACGTCCGTGGAATTGGAGCAGAAGTTTCGACACTACGAGATGTGTTGAGCTCCTTCCTCGCGAAAAGAGGACAGCTCATCTGAGCTGCGCTGAAGAGACCCGACTGCATCGGGGCGCTATGTTCAAATACAGAACAGTATTCAAAATCCGTAACCTAAATGGGCGACTCCAATGGAAACAAAACAGCGAGCCTTGTAACCATCGAACATATACGCATGCAACTTACAAGGTCCAATAGTTTTGGGGCCTGCCTTCTACGCCAGCAAACAAAGCGTGTTGCGGTGCAAGTGTGAATGAGTCATGAGCAAAGTGCGCGTTCAGCCCGTCTGACATTTAGCTACGTACGCTAAGTGCAGTGGCAAAACAGGAAACGAACAGCCAAAACAAACTGAGAGAAGAGAGATGAGGAACCAATATACACAAATGGTGTCGTCACTATTCGTGACAAGAGCCTAGCAAGGAGTCAAGTTCCTCCCCTTCCACATTGGTAACCAATGTTTTGTTAATCGTTGCTCAAAGAGGACCAGCGCCAGGTAAGAGCCGATGACCACCTCCTCGCTCTACAATACATAAACCGCTCAAATATACCCTTTGCACAACCCGCACGCCAACCTTCAAATCAGCCCCAGACTACAGCTTGAATATGTTTCAAGAGATCATGCACTCAAACGGCTCAGCATTTCGCTCGTCCCACTCACCAAGCCACAAATGCTGCCGACCGTAATGTCCATCCTCCTGACGATCAAGATTGTCGTAGTCATCAGTATCGTCATTATCGTCATCAAAAGTCATAATCAAAATCATGTACGTTGTCCTCGTCATCTCCGTCATCATCGTCATCACCCTTATCATCATCATGAGCATCATGAGTAGCACACTGTCAACATTGTATTCAACATACGTACTTACAACCATCAGCAGCAGCAACACCATCATCCGTGTCCATATACTCGTGATCATCGACATCATAGTCATTAACAAATCAACATGTCCATATCCGCGTTCATCGAAATAACAATAAACATCAATAGTCGACCTCATGTTCCTTTTCCTGTTCCTCATCATCATCCTTCCTGTCTTCCATCCTCCTCTTCCTCCTGCTTCCCCTCCTCCTCCTGCTGCTCCTCCGCCTTCACCACCATCCGCATCCTTGCCAACATCCCCAGGCAGAGGATTCTGGGATGTCCATGGGCCAGCAGGCTCATGCCCCTCCAGCACGTGCCCAATCTAACGCGCAGCAGCGGACCTGAACGCATCCGGGAAGGGCCTCGACCCTCGACCCAGAGGACGGCCCGAGGCGGCTCAGAGGACCTCACGGAGCCCGGGCGAAGAGTGGAGCCTACAAGTAGTTAAGGCTCGACGGAAAGCCTCTTAGTGCCGGCGGGGGGAGGC